ACCGTTGTACGACTTCCCCTCGTCCGCCATGACACAGCGAAGAGCAGGGGCCGCCCTCAGGCGCGGGTAGCGACGCCGCCAAACGCCCAAACGAACGTTCAGGACCCAAGCTTCTCTACCTACTCCGGGCGCCACCGCATTTATCCGGCGAAGCACGTCGCGTGCCTCTGACGTCCCAGGCTGTGGGCGGGGCCGCCAGGAGTGAGCGCGGCCCTCTGCGCGTGCGCACACTTAAGACGTTCGCAGAGGGCGAGGCCCAGCCCTCTACGCCCAGCCCAAGACTTTAGCTTGCTGAGCTGCTGGGACTCGCGATCAGTTCTTCCCCGCACCATTTCATCCGTTTTCTGACGCTGCTCTGGCAGTTCCAGAGTGCTGCAGCCCAGAACATAGAACGAGGAAATGGGCCGCTCGAAGGACTTCCGAGGAAGAGACTGGGTCTGGAGGCCTGAGTGATCGTTCACAGACCCCTAGCGGAATCCAGCCACTGTTTTAAGTCTCTACTCAGCACACTGCCAGCTGAGGATCTATTCCTCGCTTCCCTCGCCCACGAGATGGATTAATAATCACGAAATTGAAGACTAGAATGCAAGTTCCATGGGAGTGATTTTTTTTCCCTCCAGGGCTTGGCTCAGTACCATGCCTGGCTCATCATAGAAACTCAAGTCTGTGAAATAAATGATTTTTCTGTTCTATACATTCTCCGCCCTCCCTGGAGTTGCCGAGTCAACCGAGACGGTATTTATCGAGACTTTGCCTAGGTCTGTCTTCACAAGCCTCCCCCGGCCACAAGTGTGCGTGCTAGACCCCCCCCCCCCATCGTGAATCAACGGGGCAGTGAAGTTAGCCAGCTCACAGAACGGCCCATTTCCTCGCTCCATGTTCTGGGCTGCAGCACTCTAGTAGGCCACTTGCTAGAGAGACGCCAGAAAGAGGACTTTATGTCAGGGCCACAGGCTCTCCTAGACCTTCAAAACTACCAGCCCTTGAATAAGTGACTATTGTGGCTATAGCTTGAGTTTCCTTTGGGATGTGAGATGAAAGAACTCGAGTGACCTCAGAATGGTGTGGTTGTGGGTCCTGATAGGAAGGATAAAACATATTCTCTCAGGAGGGCAGGGTATTCTAGGCAGTTCTCTCCTCCATTTTCCTGTGACTGGCCTGGATTTGGTGAGAGACTTGAAGAAAACCAAGAACCTCAGTTGGAGCTGGGAACAGATTCCTCACTTCATCTTCCACACCCAGCAGCAGGCAGAGTTCCTGCCTCTCTCAGTTCCAGGAAAAATTAGGGCCGACTGGTTAGAAGATACAGATGGAGCAGGTCCAAACACTGCTTGAGATGGTCCTGGAAATTGCCACCAACCAGGGACACACTCTGGGATTCTGCTCCCCCATGTGAAAGAAAGTTTCCATGGTAATGAGGTATTGCTACATTTGGTTATCCCCTACCTGGAGGCAGTTGTGTGTACAAACTCCAAAGCTGCCTATGTCAACAGTGGGGTCCCACACAGCCACTGGTCCAACGCTTTCAGTTCTAGAACTGAGCAGTAGGCTCACTCCACACACTTCCTAGGCCCTTTGACGCTCCCACCCAGAAATGATGACATGGCTAATGAGGCTGACAGTCTTGCTGTAATTGGGAGAAAACAGGCTGCAGTACATTTGGCAGATTGAGTCACCAGCAGCCAATGTCAGGGGTTGTACAGGCAGCTGAAGGGCTCAGGGCCCCCTGCCTCACATGGTGGAGAGAGGAAGAAGCAAGAGGTCAAGTTCTAACCCAGATGGGAAAGTTGGTCCCTGGGACAGTTTTGCTTCCTCTCCTCACTCACAGGAAGGTGGGGAAGAGCGTCATCTCCCCTTGCTGCCAAAGTGTCCTTTTGAGAAAGGCTGGAGAGGGTTTATAAAAACCTCCCCCACTGGCCCCCAGCTGGCCTCTGCTCCCTTCCAGCCACTTCACAGCAGAGTCCAATCCAGAACTGTGTGTGTTTCATGGGCCTGAGGGTGGTGAGGAAATGACAGAGTGACCAGAGGTAAGGGATGGGGGATCAGGGGCAGCGGCCCTGCTTAGCAGTTCCAGGAAAACAGGGCCTTTCTCCCAAGCACCCTGCACAGGCTCAGTGGTAGTACTGGCCACCTGCCGTTCCAGGAAGGTCCCAAGCCCTCATGGAGTGCCTCAAAGTGGAGAAGGTTCAGGCAAGGAAGACCACAAAGATGATGAAGAAGACAATGAGGATCAGGAAGATTTTGACCATGAGCCACCGGTTGGAGGTGACTGACTGGAAGTACTTGAGGATCTCTGAATGGGCGGCCTCAACGTCCAGCTGAGCTCCTAGCACGTTCTCGTCAATCCTGGGGACAGGGCCGAGAAGAGAGGAAACAAAAGGATATTGGATTAAGAAGGATGCTGTTGAAGTATATTTATTCATATGAAAAGATGGCCACAAAATATGGAAGTAAAAAGTGTTTATTATATACAATATGATCCCCTTCTTGTATATACATATTTGTGTTTAGAAAAGGACCCAGAAGGCCAAGGTCAGTGGCTCACATCTATAATCCCAGCACTTTGGGAGGCCGAGATGAGAGAACTGCCTGAGCCCACGGGTTTGAGACCAGCCTGGGCAACTTAGCGAGACCCATTGCTACAATAAATAAAAAAAAAAAATTAGCCAGGCATGGTGGTGCACACCTGTATTTCCAGCTACTTGGGAGGCTGAGGCGGAAAGATTGCCTGAGCCCAGCAGGACCTGGAAGGGTTCTAATGAACAAGTTGCTTCTAGTTGGAAAACCAACTCTGCCACTTATTAGCTAAGCTATTCTTTAATTTTTTTTTTTTTGAGTTGGAGTCTCGCTCTGTCGCCCAGACTGGAGTGCAGTAGCTGCTCCCAGCCACCGCAGCCTCGACCTGCTGGGCTCTGGCAATCCTCCTGTCTCAGCCTTCCAAGTAGTTGGAACTACAGGCGCGCACTACCACACTTGGCTAATTTTTTGATTTATTGTAGAGATGAGGTCTCACCAAGTTCCCTAGACGGGTCTCAAACCCGCGGGCTCAGGCAATCCACTCACCTCAGCCTCCCAAAGGCGCGGGATTACAGGCTGAGCCACCAAGCCCGGCTTATTCTTTAAATTTAAGCCTCATTTTCCTCTCCTGTAAAATGATAAGTTGTTGTCACTCTTCAATGGTAGCAAATATAAAGTCCCCAACCCATTAAGAACCCCCAAAATGTTAGTTATAATTTTTGCTCATCAGTATTTGCTGATTTTTATCTAATGAACATGTATTGCATTTCTTATAAGGGGAAAAAAATTCAGATCATTACAGTCAGAAAATCTTGGTTCTGAAAGAAAAAACCATAATAATATGGACAATAAGTCAGCGGATAAGAAAAGCTCTACATTAGGAGAATAAAAGGAAGGACAGTCTTCTGAGAGATTACTGAGGAAAATAAAACGTAACCCAGCCAACCTGCATATGCAATCCAAAAAACAAAATACAAACCCTGGTGTTTGCAAAGGAAGTCGCTGAAAACAGAGACCTTTGTAGGCTGAGTATGGAAAAGCTGGTGTGGCTTGACAATGCAGTTAGAATGGGACAGAAAAGGTTGGGCCAGTGGCTATAAGTCCATCATGCTGGGAAGGTAAGGAAGGTGGTCACAAAGACCGTGAGCTCATCTCAGTGTCTCAAATATAGGAGCCTGAATTGTGATTTCCTATTTATGTCAGAGAGACTAATAGAAATGTCAGGTCTCACAGCTTTTGGCTATAATGATATGTACATTTAATTATACATTTATCTTATACCAAATAAAACTCATATCTAGAATTATGAATGGCTTTGCTCAACAAAAAAAGGGGAAAATTAAATGCAATCTAGGCCAGTCACGGTGGCTCAAGCCAATAATCCCAGCACTTTGGGAGGCCAAGGTGAGGGGACTGCCTGAGCCCACGGGTTTGAGACCAGACTGGGTAACTTGGCGAGACCTCATCTCTACAATAAATCAAAAAATTAGCCAGGTGTGGGAGGCGCGTGTCTGTAGTTCTGGCTACTTGGAAGGCTGAGGCGGAAGGATCGCCTGAGCCCAGCAAGTCAACTGTGAGATGGCTGTGAGCAGTGTGCCACTGCACTCTAGCCTGGGTGACGAGTGAGACTCCAACTCAAAAATAATAACAAAATAAAATAAGCCGGGCTTGGTGGCTAAGCCTGTAATCCCGTGCCTTGGGAGGCTGAGGTGAGTGGATTGCCTGAGCCCGCAGGTTCGAGACCCACCTGGGCAACTTGGCGAGACCTCATCTCTACAATAAATCAAAAATCAGCCGGGTGTGGTAGCGCGTGCCTGTAATTTCAGCTACTAGGAAAGCTGAGGCGGAAGGATCGCCAGAGCCCAGCAGGTCGAGGCTGCAGTGGCCGGGAGC